AAAAGTCGTGAGCATCAAATAGCATCGTCATAAATATGTCGCACCTTTTGACGTGACCACACCGAAAGGACATGCTATCCATACTGCTAGCAGGTCAACGACTTGCAAATCGGTATTCGGCTGGTTTCACAAGATTAGAGTAGGGTGAATTATTTGTTCAAGGGAATTAGCAGTTCATCAGAGGAATGGATTTTCCAATCTTGCACCTCCAAAATGCAAAGTAAAATACTTATCACTGTTGCCTTTTAGTTTAACAAGTGCTTTTCAGTTTGGCCTATTAACTGCTGATTAAGTTGATCGTCAGAAACAGCTTTACCATTACGCTTATTAAGTGATGCTTGATGTCTCCCTATAAGTAGTGCTCATGGGTAATATGATGGTAGCTCACTCCGCCTAAACCTTCAAGCCTTATGGTGGTAGGAACCGTGAAGCAATTGTAGAAACGTTTCCATTTCACCTTCCAAAGTCTCATTCATCCATCGACTTTCAATCTCCGCTATTTCTTTAAAAACGGGATAATTTGGTAATTTTCGGCGGCTGTTTGATCGATTGCAGCAAAGAGTTGATTTTGAGCCTCCCTCTCAGCCTCAACAAACAATTTTTGCCAAATATTTATCTTGAAGATCGTCTGTATGGTACGTGCTACAACATAAGTGTCGGTCAAACGCGTGAATGAATACCTTATTGCGTTGTGTTTAGTAAAATCCCTTCTACGCTGGCCTTCTAATTACAAGTGACAAAGTAGAAGTGACATTCAAAGTGTTGTGTTCATCAGAAGATGTTTTCAAGGAAACATAGGCACTGGTCTTCGATTAGAGTTTGCAAATATTAATTTACTTAAATAGATTTTGCTTTAAAATTATTTCGTTCAGATTCAGGAAGTGCTTTATTCCTGTTATACTTGCCTAAGATCCACAACGTTGGTGAATCTTAAATTGGAGGGCCGCCTGTGGAGAGGGTCAAACTAGTTTTTGTGCTAATGTTTTTTGAATGATGAGCTTTGCTTTGGTGCAAAGAACTACTTTGGTGCAGTTGTCCTTGTATTTTGAATATTTTGGTGTTAGCATAAGAATACGATGATGAGTTTGTAAGGAGAGTACGCAAGCAAGCTTCAAACGATAATGCCTGTTCTCATTAGAACAATATTTTCAGTAATTTAATGCAAATCAGCGCATGGAAAAGAGTTGAAAAACAGCGTACAACGGTTTATTATTATACTGTAGGCCAGCTGGGTGATTGACCGATGCTGATTTTTTAGCACATACCTCATTTGACATATTGGCAGAGTTGGGTGATTATTTGAGTCGTAGATAGTAAGTGGTATATTCCGACCTGAGAGTACAGATCATGGATAGCCCAAACCAAACGTTTCCACTACACAAGTTCAAAAATAGTTAGTTAAGCGCTAACAATGTTTTTCATAAGCATATCATCTTTAAAGTGTTCTTTGCTGATGCTTGATGATGAAATGTAGTAAAGCGTTACCGTGTAAACAGCGCAGTGATATGTAGGACTTAAAAGTCACTAATAATCCAGTTTGTTAAATAACGCCTATCTCGACCAATACCAGATTTTACTGAGTATTGCCCCCCCCCACCCCATCAATCCTATTTGTCTAGGAGAACCGTCAAGGTTCTATGGTATTTTTGAGCTCTGGCAATGCCAGATGCACATCGCGTTATTGTTACTATCAAAATTTAACTTTTATGTGTAGAGAACATGGTCAAACTTTAGGCGACGCGTGAAGACCTTGGAGAATTTTTCTCTCGATATGGCAAGGTAAATTATGCGAAAGTTTGTCGTCCGAGCAGCGGAAAAAGGTGATTGCTGAATTCTCAGAAAGGTTTGCTTTCGATAGATTCACAATTTTTAGTCCATTTGCGTTTGTAACTTTCGCGGACGCGTCGATTGCCCAGCAGCTGGTCGAAGTAAGGAAAACAGATTTTTTGTTTTTAGATAGGTGCGAGTCGTTTAGGGGAATGCCAAATGCATTATGAACGGTCGAGTCCTTGTTATTGCTTACGCGATTGAAAAAGTGAACAACTTTTCGTCTCCTTCAGGTATTTAACAATTCACAGTTCGGTTTCGTTTTAATTTCTACTGATTTTTTTCAAGACGGTCAATTGGAACAACATGTGCCAGATAATAATTTGAATACAACCTGCATTCCTCCTGCCACACAGCCGACAATACTAGAGGTAAGCAAAATCATTTTCACGAAACTTACATTTTGCTTGCAATCGGAGACGACCAATCATTGTAAATTTTTTTACTTATATATTTTCAGCCTTATTTGTAACTCCAACCATCTGACAGCCATTAAGAATATTTAATGCAAAGTTAATAACGCTTGTCAAACGCTCTCATTTCATCCTCCTACTTTTCGCCATCGCTATCAGCCGTTTTCGATTTACTGTTTAATTAAAGCTTCTCCAAAGTTTTGCAGCCAAATTCTGTCTTTTGCGATCATTTTCCACCTTACTGCGATAAATTTTTTAACACATACAAACCACTTGTACCAACGGCGGCTCAATGCGATGACCTCTACAAAAACACAAATTTCCAATAGACAGTTTATTATCCGTTAGAATCTAGTCTAATATTATTTTTGTAGGGTCTTCTTACAACATGCCCTGCTTATTGCCATATCAAATTCTTCACTTTTGCGATGACATAATCACAGATTCTTGTACATGTTTTTACCCATTCACATTCGTCTTCTTATTTTTTCTTGTTACATCTGTTCATTCTCCGTCGGTCTGTGGTCAGCTTTCATGTTGTTCATGGTCAATTTTCCATATTCCTACTTTAGTACAGAATTCATGCGCTGTTTGAAGACATTCCGTTTCAAACACAATCGCAGTTTCACTATTAAACTGAAATGATGTTGCCAATTTTCTCCAATAAGTAGCCATTGCATGAGGAATTTGGAAAGTTTCTTTTATCACACAAATGGTATAAAATCTGCATTTTAAATTCTAGCTTCGATGCTATGATGTGAACATGATAAAGTGAAAAAATATTTAATTTAGAACAATGTGATTGGTCAAAATTTGCATGATTGCGTGAACGAAGACAAACCAGCCACTGACAGCAGCATTCTATCTCCTCCAAACATGGCGGCGAGTCTGCATGCTGGAGAGCATGAGTCGCCACCTCAGCAGCAGCAACTGCCGCTGCCAGAGATGAATACACAATTCGCGCCAATCTTTCCACTGCCTTGCAATCAACAGCAGCAAAAAATCCAAGTAAACGGTTCACGTCTCTGCAATGACTTAATATAGACTTTTAGGCTCCTCTTGATCTGCTGATTCAATGCACGGTTGAGAGTCAGGAGGCTATGCGCCAGGCATTCTATTTATATGCGACGCAAATGCAGACGCATTGCAACGAGCTGATAAGCAGTTACTTAACCGCTTTCACCGAAGCTTTGCAGGTAAACAAGTTTTCAGTCCACATTTTTATTTAATCTATATTTGCACATAAATAAGTTATCAAGTAGCTTTTACTATTGAGGCCAAAACCTCCATTATGAAATTTGTACCTAAATACACTGAAAATTACTGTAACATCACAAATCGATTATGACGGTGCCTGAAGGAAGAATGGGCATGTTTGAAAACGTCGGAGAACTTGTACATAATAAATTTTATATGCGGAGTAATATTGCAAAGTACATGTCGACTGTTGAACTAAATTTCCGTATATACAATATATATTTAATATATACATAACCTGAGTCAGAAACAGACTCCTTCGAAATACCTGCTCTAGCTTTTTACTGGCCGTCTCCGGAGTCTTCCTCCTGTAGATTGAACAAGTGATCCGTTTTTGCCCTGCTTTCTGGTTCTGGAAGCACTCGCAAGACGTGTCTAAACTACAATAGCTGTGATTTCTCAATCTGC